ATGGAGGAAATTCTAATTGATTCATACTTCATTACTTATTATAAAGTGTATTTCATGTTTTTATTTTTGCACAATGTTCAATTGTACTACAAATATCAAATAAATATGTTTTACCCTTTTTTATGTCCAAGTAATATTAATTTAATTTTGGTATCAAAAAAAAAAAAAAATTTAAAGCCCGGGCCCGGCCCGGCCCGGCCCGGACCCGCCCGGGTCGACCCGGCACGAACCGGACCCGGTATCACCCCGGGCCGGTTCCGGGCCCAACAATCCCCAAAAAAAGCCCGCCCGGGCCCGGCCCGGAACCGGAACCGGCCCGGCCCGGGTCCATCCCTAGGTCCGGGTCGGGCCTAGGTCCGGGTCGGGCCTAGGTCCGGTGGGGTGGCCGGGTCCGGGCTCGGGCCTTGTATTTGGCGAACCGGCCCGGCCGGGTCGGGCCCGGGCCGAATTGATTTTTTTTTAATTTTTTTTTTCTTTTTTTGGGGTTAGCCAAGTTGAGCTTCATGGTTAGAAGGGGTTTGGGGGTTTGGGGGGTGTGGGGGTGAGTGGGGGGGTTAGCAAAGCAAAAAAAAAAAAAAAAAAAAAAAAAAAAAAAAAAAATTATAACCGAACCGGAGGTCCGGCCCGGACCCGGACCGGACCCGGTGGCTACCCGGGCCGGTCCCGGGCCTTCCTTCCCAAAAAAAAAGCCCGACCGGCCCGGCCCGGAACCGGCCCGGAACCGGCCCGGCCCGGGTCCATGACTACCTAACCATCTTTTACAAGACAAGTTAAAAAGATCACACTTTCTTTTATGTACTCGGTGCATTTTAAACGAAAATTTCATTTGTATAAACCTTAGAGACATCATTTTTATAAAAAAAAAAATATTACTCCGTACATAGTAGAACTATTCCTATTTTTATGTATTTTTTGCTTCATATAACATAAAATAATAAAATGAGTATATTTGATAAATTGATATACAACTTTTTTACATAAATATGTGTGCATATCAAATTAAAAATTTTGTTTTGAAATAAAGAGGGTATTACTTTGAAATTGTAAAAATAAGCAAAACTCAATACAAAGCTCGTAGATTGAAATAGAAAAAGTAAAATATAGCGTCATGTATATGGCGTCATGTTTGATTCTAAATTGACATAAAGGATCAATGTAGATTTGAATGAAAAGAGATCATTGCACTGTTTGCATTTGTTTTTTTACGCAATTTGGAGCTTTTAGCTTTGGAAGAACTAAAAGTGGTGTTTGCTAACCCTATATTCTGCTTTTTAAAAATGATTTTAAGCCAAAATCTAAAACCAGACCAAGTGCTTTGGAGCTTTTAGTGCTTTTAGGTAACGTTGTAAATAACTCCAACTTTAGGGATAATGTCACGCCCAATTAAACCCAAAATACCCTTCATCTCTCCCACACCAATCCAACGTCGTAGCTCACCCCTACCTACGCTCTGCACTTCTTTCTTCCCCCTTTTCCCCCACACACATACACCTAAATATTATATATATTCCATGGGAAGAAATCTAGATCCATGGGGATTTTGAATGCTGAGAATCACCACCAGGGGACTTCAAGGGTGTATTGCCAATTTACCATCCTCCGCCTCCGCCTCCGCCTCATTCCAAAGACGTCAAGAAGCCAACTCACCGCCGTGACGGCGACGGCGACATCCGTCGGTTGTGTCGTGGCGGCACGACTAGAACGGCGTTCTCCAAGGTTGTGGCTAGGGTTGATTTTGCTAATTGCTTTTGTTTAGAGGAACTCCGGCAGTAGCCATGGATTGGAGCCGATTTGAGGTAAATGCTCCATCTATTGAAAGTGTTAGAAAATTGATGTAACGTACCTCGAAAGTACAACAACAGAAGTTTAAATTTTCCCAAACAGATCTTTCCTGATTATGACAAAACAACGAATATAACAATAATAAAGAATCTGAGTTAGAACTTGCAGATCTTCCATCCTACCGGTGATAATCCTTGACTTTAGGTATCCACGTGATTTCTCCTTTTCCAAAGAACGGTTAGATCTCCCATAGAGAAAGGCTAGGAAATCTCTTTGCTGGGAAATAAACCGGTAATACTGAATCTGAAAACTAGTCTCCAAATTATGAGGGGTGTATTTATACTAGTTCTAAACAAGTTCCTCAATCACAATGAAAGTCTTTCCCAATAATGCATGTGTTATAGTCCTAACAGGACCAATGATTATTAACGATTTCATTAATTAAATAAACAAAACAAAATAAATGATTAATAACATCAAAGTGGCTACACGTCACTTTACTTTTTATTTTTATTATTATTAGTATTATTATTATTTATTTTCTATTTTCTTTTAATTCTAAATCATAATAGAAAATATCAACTTTATTTAATTAAAAATACATCTTAATTAAGTACAATAAATCCAATTTATTCCACTTAATTAATTCTATCAAATAGAACTTTCCTTCAACTTCATGAATTAAATATGTTTAATCTAATTAATATGTAGTCCATTTTCAATATTACGAATTAAATTTTATTTAATCCAATTAATATGTAATTCCTTCTAACAATTCAATCGGAAGGTATAATCACTTGTTATGTGACCCATAAGGCCTTATATATTAAGCACTAATCAAATTAAGGTCTAAGCAAAATCCCTAAATGATTTACCAGACAATATTAATATATAAGGACGTTTGCGATGACTATTCAAACTTCCTGTAAGATAGAGCCCATAGTGATACTGTCCTTTCATTCAATGAACATTCAACTAAGTCTAGAACTTGATATTGTGTCTACTCCAATAACGTAGTCTCTATCTTTCAATCTTTCTAGATGATCCATAACGATCATATTCAATATCCAAAACGAATATATCTTTGCATTGACCAATGACTTTATGATTCATCTAGTTATGAGAAGTAAAATATTCTCTCTTAATCTATTACGATGAATGAATTCTTTCTTGGCTCAACTACTACTCCATGTGCTTCATGATGTACCCAACACATGTTGTATCTACCCCGATTGGAGTGCAAGTGTTGGTCATGGTCAAAGTACATTACTCCGCACATGTAGTACGTATCGACCTCAAGTCAGAGGACTATTACACTACTTCATATGCCGATAATCCCATAGACACATGAATAAAACTTATCAAATGGTTTCTCGGTGTGTATGCCAGTATTCTCTAAAATATCTATGTGACTATCATGAATTACAGGAACTCATAGTTGTGAGATCAACTATACTTTCTAAAAGTATGATGCAGTCCACATACCAATCTTTTCGCATATCATCAATATCTCATTCTTGATGATCATTGATTGGGGCTATTTTAGGACATACTCCCTCCGTCCCCGAAAGAAATTCCCAGTCACTATTCATTGGTCAACTTGAATCACTCCTAATCATTTACTTTATATATCAAATTTTTATCAAACTTAAATTTTCTTGATCAGGATTTGTAGCGGTTTTAATGTAGTTTCTGAATATGTAAATTTTATTTACTAAAAATAATCCAGGTGTGAACAGGGATCGAGTTGCTTTATCGTCAGCCAAGCATCGTAAACCGAACGGGAACTTCATTCGGGGACGGAGGTAGTATCATATAAGCTCCCACTTACTTATTGACAACATAAGTCCAAGGGAACACAATTATGAATAAGATATTGACAATCGAATACTTAATCATCAATGTGTAATACCATATATATCAAACATATAAAACTGAATGTGATCCAGTATATATCTCTAAAAAATGATTATCGTAGAACATATATACTAACAGAAAGCAGGTGGTCAAGACGTGCATTCTTTAGCTCCATGTATTGAAACGGGGCAGTGTGTCTTCATACAAAAGAATGCAAGAGCATTTACCCAAGGAGTGAAAGATGAGTGAAACGGGGCAGTCTGCAAACACTCAAGACTAAAATATTAAAGAAAAAAGACAATTTTGTACTTTACAAAAAAAATTACATCAAAAATCACTTTTTTATCAAACACTACAACTTTTATATTTCAATTAAAATCACTTCTATTCCTAAACACTACCTACTTTTACTACAAATCATTTTTTCAATAATCTCTTGAAAAAATCACTTCTAAAAAGTATAAGCAATTGCAAACACTCACATATATCTCAATTAAAAAGACAAACGCACTTACGCACCCGCCAACCTCTTTGCTATCAGCTTAGCTGAAGGAACATCCACCCACCTCCTTCTATTCTCCTTATCAGCGGCGGACCCCAATGGGGTCAAATGGGGTACATCGTCCCTCCATTTTTTTCCTAAGTATATTTATTCTTGTTTTTTGAAAGGGCTAAGTATATTTATTCCGAAATTTTTAACATGTACGTATTTGTATGAACATTTTTATATCGTTGCTCCTCATATCGAGTAATCCTGCATACACCGCTGTCTCTTATCTTTATCAAATCAAGATTTGATGACCTCTCATATCTTCTTGAATTGAGTTTTAATCTAAATTCACTTCCTATTCAGATGGACACCATATAAAAAAGAACTTTGCAAGGAAGTTTACAACACCTTTTTATGGTGAATATCTTTAATAACAAAAAAAAGAGATTTACTTCTAAATAAATTAATCATGCATAATATTCAAATATAAGCGGCCCAGTATTCAGACAAAAAGCAACGTCATTAAATCTAAGGATGTTTTGTTTTGGACTGAAATTCGCTGTTCTGATTTGGTTTGGTCTGAATTGGTCTAGTCTGATAAACGTCTGGTTGCTGAATATTTTATAACTACGTAAATCTTATCTGATGTAGTCTGGTCTGAGAGACTGAAAACAATCTAAAAGAAAACATCCTAAATAATAAGCAATTCTTGATCAGAAGTCACAACAAAATCAAAAGCAAACCCAAAGACACATCTACATTTTTGGGGGGCACATTTCATAAAGAATGTACGGGCAACCCACACAATCATTTATTAGCCACTTACATCTTTTTATGGCTGAGTTTAGCCACTGGCTTTATAAAGTGGATTGTCAAATGTCTAAAAACATCGGTCAAAAAATCGATAAATAGAAACCAATAAATCAAATTAATCGTGGTCTTTCTTGATCCACTCAAATGGCCATTATGTATTCCTTCTTGGAACTGGGAAGCAAATTCTTCATTTTATCCTCAACTTCTCATCTCCTCTCCGAATAGCGTCCGCCTGGGTTCGTTTCTTGGTGCGCTCCGCCAAAGCCTTAAACTTTAACCCTTCAAGAATGGTTTTGAAGTGAATTTGGGAAACTAAGCAACTTTCTGAAGTGGGTTCTTGCTTTGGAGGAATAAAATTGCAATTTTGCTTAGCGGGTATCATTACATATTTGAGGATGATGTCTGTGACCTGCCAGTACCACCATAGTCTTGAGTTTGGAAGAAGTAGACTGTACTTTGCAGCTAATGGGTGCCCTATTAGAAATACCGACAAGTGTGCTGTTACCAGGGGCTTCAAGGCTCAGAAATCGCTGTGTTGCCGGCGTTATGCCGGCCGGTGCCGGGTCTTTTCTACAGAGAGCTTGGGCAGTCTGGTTAATGGTAAGCTCTCTTTGCAGCCTCGAACTGACTTGGTAGCTCCTTCAGTGCAAAACTTGTTTTTCACTTTTGCTAATTGCAGTTTAGCCTAATAAGTACTAGGTTAACTTTGCTACTCCAGCTGCTGCACCTCCTCCTGTGTTGAATTTGATGGGAAAGTCCAGAGGTCCTGTTTGTCTTACAAGTTTGTTTGAGTTGGTTGCTGATGACCTCCTTATGCTGAACAAGAACTTACAGTCTGTGAGTATTAATTGAAAGTGCCCCCACCCCACCCCATCTTAGTTGCTCTTCTGAAGAACTCTTGTTTTGGGCCTTTATATCAAGTTATCCCACACAAATACAATGCACATACGGCATGGAGGGTCAGTATTACATGTATATGAGTCCTTATGTGTTATCTTAACTCCTGTTTGAATGTTCAAATTTCATTTAATGTTAAATAGAAGGGTGTAGAGTTACTTTGAAAGTGGACAGAATTACATAAATAAATAGGATCAGTTGATGTTTTGTTTTGACATCAGAGGTCGTACTGTAAACCAGAAACAAATTAGACTTGCCCACCATGGTGGTGGAGTTGGATGGGCTAAACATGAATGAACTATGACTAGGGGTTTACTAAAAGAGTAAGGAGAGTTATTCATTACTTCTTTCATTTGGATGTTACGAAGAAAAATGTTGCTATATTGGTCGGATCTTGACTAGGTGAAGCTCTCAATTAGGGGTTCTGTCACTTCTGTTTGGCTGTGGCAGTTTGGTAGTCTGATTTTGAAAATGCAAAGCCAAGCAACGAACCAAGAGACTTAGGTTGGTTTTGGTTAAGTTATCTTTGGTAGTTTTTGGCATATTTCAGTCAGTTTTATCAGTTCGTTCGGTTTTTAAAGCATGATTCATAAACTGTAAACCAAACCGGTTATGAGTTGGTGGTCGGTTTTATTCATTCTTGTTTCCTTCAGTTCGCTGGTCTGATTCCGTTTAGAGATATTACCCGAAATAGGACTAAAAAAGTTTGAAAATTCCAAAATAGGACTTCCATGTTTTTATTTCCAAAATAGTACTAATTACTGTCATGTTTTGGCAGTACCAGACTTCAAACATGGAAGTATTTTCCAAACATGGCAGTAATTAGTCCTATTTTAGGAATAAAAACATGACAGTCCTATTTTGGAATTTTCAAACTTTTTTAGTCCTATTTTGGGAACTTTCCCTTCGGTTTATCATTTTTTCAGCCCTAGGTCCTAGCCTCAATGAAGTTATTATGTGATTACAACATACACGTTTGAATAGTATAGTTGGGACCAGTTCAGTATTACTGTCAGTATCTTGTTTTATGAATTTAAAAGGTACTCCGTATATGATTTATGTTATCTAATGAAGTAAAGAATATATCAAACTAGAGTAAGAATGTTAGGCTTGAAAGCTGCCAGCAGTAAACTGAAAATGACTTTATCCGGTTTTTAAATTTTGTTTTTAGTTTCCAATAAAAAGAGGAAATGTTACTGAATGGGGCCTTATTGCTACTCTTAATTGTTTGCTCAAGCTTAATCTTTAATTCGTTCTTGAGTTAGACACTAACTGTGATGACATTTTAGGCGGACTTCTATCCTTAACCACCTATTAGATCTTTCATATCACTTCATACAGAAATCTGATTGAAACCATCTCTTAGATTGTAGGTGCAGATAACCCAGTTTTAGTGTCTGCAGCGGAACAGATTTTTGGTGCTGGTGGGAAAAGGATGAGACCTGCTTTGGTTTTTCTTGTTGCTCGAGCAACATCAGAAATGGTTGGCCTGACGTGAGGACCACCATTTGCACTTCTGGTTATTATTAATATTATGTATCCAATTGTGTACTATGATGAATCAGCTTACTTAGGATCCTGCAAATATATTTTTTGCTCAGGGAACTGACTAAGGAACATAGGCGGCTAGCTGAAATCATAGAAATGATACACACTGCAAGTTTGATTCACGATGATGTTTTGGATGAAAGTGACATGCGCAGAGGTTTACACCTTTATCTTGATTATAATTAGTTAATTAATTAAAGTGATTATGGCCATAGAAATTGAAAGACTCGAGAAGTTGAGATCCTTATTCACTTCTTTTTTGCTTTTGCAGGAAAGGAAACTGTCCATCACTTGTATGGTACGAAGGTTGCAGTGCTGGCTGGTGATTTCATGTTTGCACAATCATCATGGTACCTAGCTAACCTTGAAAATCTTGAAGTCATAAAGCTTATAAGCCAGGTATATAATAAGATTTACTTACACTGGTGCAGCTTTTTAGGGTCCAACTAATGACCCATGAATTATGCCGTATCCGTTAATATAAATTTAAACAGCTTTTGCACTTTATTTTTCCGATGATAGAAAATGAAGTGAGAAAGTTATTTCTACAGCTAAAATGAAAGCAAATTTCACTTTTTCCTTTGTTTTTCATACACCATCCATCCCCGCAAAAGGCCCCCTTTGACTTGGCATGCTTATTAAGAACAACAAATTGTGTGGTTAGATTATATGTAAAGGATCTAAAAGTTGAATCACACAATTATTTCCATAAAATGAAAGAGGGCTGGTATTTGGCACATGGGTGAAGGAAAGGGCATCCTTTTTCATGGCATAGGAATATCATTTTATTTGGTTTGTAAAAAATCTTTCAATGATACCTTAGTGGATAATATAGCTTATTCAGCTTTTTCAGCCACTCTATCATTAACATCAGCCATTTCATCTAAAATCTACCATTTCCAAAAAATGAACCCTATATTTGGTAAGAATGTAAGATTTATTTGTCTGAAATAACTGTATCTGCTAAATTTTCCTAAAGGAAAAAGTTTGGTCAAATGAATTTATAAAAGGAAAAACGTTCGGTGAAATCTATTTCAGCGAAATAATAAATGAAAGAACTACTTATACTCTGCAAGTAGAATTAGACGATTACTGCTACAAAACAAGGCCACTCAACGCAATTTTCATTAATAAGAAACTTTTTCATTTGAATAGTTGGCAAATCTGTTTAAGCTATTGTGTTCAGTGCTTTGGACGTTATGACAGGTTATCAAGGATTTCGCGAGCGGTGAAATAAAGCAGGCATCCAGTTTGTTTGACTGTGATGTTGAACTGAAAGAATACTTGATCAAGAGTTACTACAAAACAGCTTCATTAATTGCAGCTAGCACAAAGGGAGCTGCCATATTCAGCGGGGTCCACAAGGAGACAAGTGAGCAGATGTATCAATATGGGAGGAATCTTGGTCTATCTTTCCAGATAGTCGACGACATACTAGACTTCACTCAATCAGCAGAGCAGTTGGGGAAGCCGGCCGGCAGTGACCTGGCAAAGGGAAACCTCACTGCCCCAGTGATCTTTGCACTACAAAAGGAGCCTAAACTTAGGGATTTGATCGAATATGAATTCTGTGAAACCGGATCTCTAGAGGAGGCCATCAGGGTTATCAAGAACTGTGGAGGGATTGAAAGAGCTCAAGAGTTGGCAAAAGAGAAAGCAGATATGGCCATTCAGAATCTCAGGTGCCTTCCTCCCAGTCCTTTCAGAATAGGACTGGAGGAAATGGTGAGTTATAACCTTGAAAGAATTGAATAGGATGAACTTTCCTTGTGGATATGAATCACACATCCAATGATGTATGTGATGATGGCTCACTAAACTATAATAGTTTAGAGCATCACAGAAGAGTAAAGCATTCTTATGTAGCCATTTGGATTCTTGTAATGAGCCAGCTCTTGCACCTCATTATTTGTATACTCCCATAAGAGGTCATGAGCAGCCTATAGCTTGTAGCATATATGTGTATAACTTTATTTAGCTTTTTTGCAAAGGAGAATACATTATGTGTTGTGAAAATAATGGACCTTACTTAATACCCTTTTGGTTCATTTCCAAAATGACTTTTGTAGAGTGGTTATTATTATTATTTGGACATTCGTATTCGTTATACTTGAGATATTTATCTTCTTCAGGAATTTATAGTAGTAATTTTCTAAAAAACGATTTTTTTTGTATAAAATCTGACTGTTTTGGATAGGCTTGGACTCGGGCCGGGCGGCCCGAACCGGAACCGGCCCGGTCACTGTTTGAACCGGCCTGGCCCATGGGCGGTTTGGGTCGACCCGGCCCGGTGGCTACCGGTTCCGGGCTCGGGCCTTCATTTTGGTGAACCGGCCCGGCCGGTTCGGGCCCGGTCCGGGCCGGATTTAGTTTTTTTTTTTTTGAATTTTTTTTAAGTTTTTGGGTTGGATTGGGTATTTTGGGCCATTTGAGGTGGTTTGGGGTTGAGGGGGAGGGTAGGGGGTTGATTAGGAAACCCCCCAAAATAAAAATTATATAGAACCGAACCGGCCCCGGCCCGAACCGGACCCGGGTTTACCCGGGCCGGTTCCGGACCTCCCCTACCTTGAACCGAGGCCCGGCCGGTTCAAGGCCCGAACTGGGCCCGGCCCGGAACCGGTCCACCCCTAGTTTTGGACTTTTGGACAATGTGTTTTTGCAAGATGTTTCTGTATGGTTTGTGGGAACGTTGTAATTGTGTTTTTAAATAATTACTTGGTTTTCTGATTATCCTTTTTTAAATAAGTAAAAGAACCTCTTCACCATTTTCCACTGAGTCCTAGTGTACAATGGTAGCTCGGTGAAAATCATGTAATGTTACATTTGGCACATCCCCATATGGACTGGTGTGACAATACTTAGGCATTAGGAGTCATCACGTATAAATGTATAATGCCCCTCTCAAGGTAAAGATAAAACGTAAATCAAAATTTCTATTTAAAAATGCAATAAAATGTTGATTTTAGAGATAACCCTGCTCAAATACCACAAAATCAATAAAATACTGAAAACTTCATAAATGTTTGTTCCCATCAATAAATATCATAAACACATGGATCGATGAAACTTCAACAACAAAAGAAACATTTCAAATGAACTTGAAGTAGTCGATTAACAAATTATAAAATTGAAATTCTTAAATAAAGTTAAGAGTTAATTATCAAAATAGGACTATAAGTCATTCACTTTGCACAAATAGGACAAAAAAATAAACTATGTTTCCATAGGACTAATTATGTGTGTCTTGCCGTCTTGGACAAATATACCCTTATACCTATTGGAATGTTTTAATTCATAATAAAATAATAAAAAATAATAAAAATTCGTAAAATATACCAAAAAATTAATAAAAATATTTTGAATAATAATAAATTTAAAAAAAAAATTCAAAAAAAAAAAATTAAAAAAAAAAAATTAAAAACAAATAAAAAAAAACTTTTTTTGTCACCGCCGCCTCTGCCACCCCAGCATTACCACCTCTAGTCATTTGGGGAAAAAATGCCAAATTTATTATGAATTCCATATTTTTGGCATAATTCAGAATGATTTAAGATGGAAGAAAAAAAAATGTTGGCATTGTCAAAGAGAAATATGCCATGTTTTTGGCATTTTCCGAAAAAAATGGAAGTTTGTAGGAAATATGACATTTTTTTTAACGGTCGGAGGTGGTGGTGCAGGGAGGCGGTACCACCACCTCCTGTCACCGGGGTAAAAAATGCCAAAAAAAATTATAAATGCCATATTTTTGGCAAAAGTCAAAAGGATTCAAGTTGGCAGAATGAAAATGTTGACATTCTCATAGAGAAATATGCCATTTTTTTGGAATTTAAAAAAAAAAGTGGCATTTTTTACACCGATCGGAGGTGGTGGTTCAGGGAGGTAGTACAGGCGGTGGGAAAGGTATCCATATTTTTTTTTAATTTTTTTATGGAGTTTTACTATTTTTTATAAATTTTCAAAAATAAAATTAAAAAAAAAACATTTTTTTCTTATTTTTTAATTTATAAAAATTTTAGTAATTTTTTTTCCTACGAATTATTGATTTTTTTTCGAATTTATTATGAATTAAACATTTAATTATGACTTTTAGCTATCTTGTACTAATATTTAAAGGAGGGGTAAGAATGGAAGAAAGAAATGGGTATTTTTCCAATAGGACCACTATGGTCCTATTTTGGAATAAAAAACATAGCAAGTTCTATTTTGAGTTTTTGCCATAGTTTTAGTACTATTTGAAGTAATTTCTATAAAGTTAAGTGCCATTGTCGTTACTGTGAAGTCATTATGGTACGTAATCTATTGTCTCATCGTCCTCTTAGATCTTGGCTTTGCCCTTGATGCCTGTACATGTGAAGAATGAAAATCGATAAGCTTTAGGGTTAGTGAGTCAAAAAGTCTATGCTAATGCTATTTATCAAGAGATAAAATTTAGGTCATGTTCTCACATTATTTAACAAATAACTTACAGATTATTTCTCAAATAGATGTGAAAGTTTTCACAAATAAAATTTCTGAAATAACTTTTGGAACAACTGTTGAAGGTCTCTAAGCTCTTGCTAATAAACTACCAAATACATTCTAATGGAGTCTCAAAATACTTTCTAAAATACGTAATGACACCACTATGATAGTTTAAAGAAGTGACCCCCTAAACATATCGAAAATTTTGAAACTCTAATCGCTGACAACTCTATGGGAACTGGTTCCCAATTACACATCACTTTTTCACTTTAAATATTACGTAGTATTTCTTGTTTATAGTGACATTTGATATAAGAACTATAAAAGAACTATTGTATTGACATAGAATTAGTACAATCAATTTTGCTCGGATCATATATAACATTTTTTTTGACACGGTGCCTTGCCAAATGGCTCCTTCCAAAATGACAGCGTCATAGATTTTAGTATTGATTTGATAGGGATCCGCAAATACATGCCAAATCAATACCAATTTGCGATCAGGGACCAGTGAATAAAGATGAGGTGCAAAGGTTGAATTATTCATGAATAACGAAAATGTGGAACTATTGTAAGAATTTCGCTTAAATGTTGGATTATTAGTTTTCATTTTCCCTAAACTTTTTTTAATTGTAAGAATTTTCAACCCTAATACACATTGTCATACTTGTTTTCCTCCTTTTTCCCTCGTCTAGTCGTCTCTGAATGATATATCCAGAATTAATATACTCTACCAAATCAATGAAGAATTGGTGTTGGGTAATCCCCAAAAGAACGAATCAACGTTTTTGCAATTGAGTGACATTCGCTCATCCTATAATTCTATTTCTTTTCTAGGCAATTTTTCAAAACTCTCTCTGATTTTGATCAAAAAGTGCACCTAAGTTCTGTTCTGAACGCACCGTTGGAACTTGGAATGTTCTTGTTATGAAGACTTCAGAAATACGTGAAATACGTAGTATGTTTATGAGAAATTACCCTAAATAGGAGTAAAAACGTTTTGAAATTCCAAAATAGGAGTATCATGTTTTTTATTCCCTAAATAGGAGTAATCTGCCAAGTTTGGAAAAAAATGCCATGTTTAAAGCCTTATAATTTCCAAACTTGGCAGAAATTTACTCCTATTTAGGGAATAAAAACATGATACTCCTATTTTGGAATTTCAAAACTTTTTTACTCCTATTTAGGGAATTCTCTCTATGTTTATCCACGATTAAAAGACCTAAAATTCCCGTCACCATTTCTCCATCTAACATATAGTCACCAGTCAACTGTCACTTTTTGAATAAATCTCTCGTTTTCTAAGCAGATGAATGACGTCATCAGCCACTCCTATAGCAGTTTGTATATCGTGGAATCCTCCCACGATGATCACCGTACTCCTGCAATCAAAACGATATAGTTTTGCATTTTTTTTAATAAAAATTTCGCGCATGAACAGTACACGCGTACATTAATTTTTGTTTTTGTTTTTTTCTTTGTCCCAGTAGCAGATGATGTAACTCATGTGTAAAGAAATGTAGCTCACGTTATTGATCAATGTAACTCAAGTCTAGTCGAAATGTAACTTGTCCAATACATAGTATAAGAAATAAAATATTGATTTCAATAAAAATAGTCTAATTGTCTAAACTTTTTACATAAATAGTGCATATGTTTTTTTTTAATATGAGGACTATAAAAATGATTTTATAGTCATTGTCTGCGCCCAGATACTTCATATCTTATTCACAATGTAACACCGTCCCCAAATATATTTAACCTTATGTAAATTTTGTATTGAACATTTTGTATCGAGCAATGAATTTACGAGGTTATAAATTTTTGTTATTTATTTTGCGCGAATAATAAATTCCACGCGGGGCCCACAAAGGGAGCGGGGACCGCTCGATAACCCGAGACCATATATTATATTCATCTTGGTCTAGATAATAGTTATATGGTGGTGGACATTCATGTTGGTCCATAAGAAAGACATTGGGTTGACTGGTTGGTCAAATAGAGCCCAATTACCAGTACCGACAATTTATTAGATAACAGTCCAAAATGAGTTTAAGAGACTTTTAAATTATAGTTAGGGAATGCATATTCATTCTTAAGATTCATAATGATTGTGAACATGTAATATATTTTATTTTACCCGATGAAATAAAATATAATTAAAACAGTCTGAGAAATACAACTTTCGGGGCCGAATGTGCAGTTCAGGACACATTGGGATGACTTCCCACATGAGTGAGGGACACCCCACGTTTTGTGTGCTGAATACTTCAGTTGGGAGCTGTGGAGCATGAGATTGATGTCAGAGTGGATGAGTGAGACATGGTTGACAACCAAAGGGGCCCTCTCATCACTCATTGGCACAATTGAGACAAAACAAACTCTCAACCCTTTCTCTCAGCATTATTTCAGCCCAAGCACAAAGAAAGGAGAGAAGAAGCTCTGAAACATCATTTCTCCATAGCCAAATTCGAGCTGGAGAAGGCAAGGTCTAAGAAGGAAGATTAAAGAGGGAAAAAGTGAGGAAAAGCTTGAAAAATTAAGGTAATGACTCCATAGTAACTTTTTCTTCTCTCACGAAACTTCATGTGACTTTTATGTCATATATGAAGTACCCCTAGGGTG